AAATAAACAAAAATAATAACAGCAAATGTTTATTGAGCTTGTATTATATGCTATATACTATGCTAAGATTTCCTCATGGGTTAAATAATTTACTCTCCACAATAAACCTATGATATAGGTAGATACTATTAGGGATAGTCAGAATTTTTCTCATGGAAACATACTGGAATCTAATTTAAATTTGTGTAGGCCACCATTAGTTGTGGCCCCTCCAAAGAGAAACTAGGCACCTAAGAAGCATAGCCCACTACAAATATCTCCTGTTACAGATGAGGAAACTGAGGCAAAGACATACTAACTTCCCTAAAGCCTCAGGGCTACTAGGTAGCAGAACCTGCATTTGAACTCAGAGAGCCTGACTTTGGAGCTCATGATTTTACTGTGATGGTTAATTTTATGTGTCAACTTGACTGGGCCACAGAGTACCCAGATATTTGTTTAAATATTGTGAGTGTGTCTATGAGGGTGTTTCTAGATGATATTAACATTTGCTATGATCTGAATGTTTGTGTCCCCCCTCCCAAATTCATATATCGAAATTCTAACAACCAAGGTAATGGTATTAGGAGATGGAGCCTTTTAGAAGGTCATTAGGTGAATCAGATTAGTGCCCTTATAAAATAGGGCCAACCGATCTCATTTGTCCCTTCTACAATGTAAGGACACAGCATCTATGCATCAGGAAGCATGCTCTCTCTTCATTAGATCAAATCTGCTGGTGGCTTAATCTTGGACTTCCCATTCTCCAGAGCTATGAGAAATAAATTTCTATTGTTTATAAGCTACCCAGTTTATGGTACAGTTGACCTTCCATATCCATGGGTTTGGCATCCTCTGATTCAACCAATTGTGATCAAAAATATTTGGAGAAAAAATAATACAAGAATAAAAATAATACAAATAAAAAATAAAGTATGACAACTAATTACATAGCAGTTAGACTGTATCAAGTATCATAAGTAATCTAGAGATGATTTAAAGTATACAAGAGGATGTGTGTAGATTATATGCAAATACTATGCCATTTTACATTAGGGACTTGAGCATGTGCAGATTTTGGTATCCAAGGGAGATCCTGGAACCAATGCCCCAAGGATACCAAAGGACAATTGTATTTTGTTATAGCAGGCTGAACGGACTAAAACAAGTTGATAGACTGGGTAAAGCAGATTGCCCTCCCCAAGGTGGGAAGACCTTATCCAATCCTTTGAAGGCCTGAACAGAACAAGGCTGAGCAAGAGAGAATTTGCTCTCTGCCTGATGGTCCTTGAGTTGGGACATTGGTCTTCTGCCTTTGAACTCAGACTAGCTCTTACACCATGGGTTCCCTATGGTTCTCACGCCTTCACTGCAGATCTTGGGGCATAGCCTCCATAATTGTGTGAGCCAATTCCTTACAATAAATCTCATATACATATAAAGTCATGCACCCTATAATGATGTTTCAGTCAACTACAGACCACATATATGATGTTAGTCCAATAAGACTATAATGGCTATACCATATAGCCTAGGTGTGTAGTAGGCTATAGCATATAGGTTTATGTAAGTATACTCTATGATGTTCATACAAAAACAAAATTGCCTAATAGCACATTTCTCAGAATGTATTCCCATCGTTAAGCAACATATGATTATATTTCTCATTGGTTCTACTTCTCTGGAGAAACCCGACTAATTCATTTAGCTACAAGACTATACTGCAAAGCTATGTCCATGACATATTCCAAAGTTTTAAAAAAAAATCAGTTAGAGTATACTATGTGTTGCATGATCTCATTTATATGACCATAAACAAACGAAATGCCTGGAAGGCTATATACCAAACTGTTAACAAAGGGTATCCCTGGCAGATGGTATTAGAAAGGACTTTTGCTTTGTCATTTAAAGTTTTCCCCCCCAACAAAGGTCTAGTATTTCTGGAAAAAACAATTATTTTCAGGGCCGGCCCGTGGCCAGATGGTATTAGAAAGGACTTTTGCTTTGTCATTTAAAGTTTCCCCCCCCAACAAAGGTCTAGTATTTCTGGAAAAAACAATTATTTTCAGGGCCGGCCCGTGGCTCACTCAGGAGAGTGCGGTGCTGATAACACCAAGGCCACGGGTTCGGATCCCATATAGGGATGGCTGGTTCGCTCACTGGGTGAGTGTGGTGCTGACAACACTAAGACAAGGGTTAAGATCCCCTTACTGGTCATCTTTTTTAAAAAAAAAAAAACAAAAAAACAACAATTATTTTCATTCTTTTTTTTTTTTTTCCTTTTTTTGTCTTTTTTCGTGACCGGCAACGGATCGCAACCCTCAGTGTCGCGCCCGTACCGGACCGGGACCGGCAACGGGATCGCAACCCTCGGTGTTGCGCCCGCACCTCGTTCAGCCAGTGAGTGGCTGGTCTGTATGTGGGATGCCGCCGCGCTCCCAAGCGGCGCACTGTAGCATGCACCACCGGGCCAGCCCAATTATTTTCATTCTTGAAAAGAAATTTAAAAGTCAGTAAAATCAAATCTCACACCAAGATAGGTGTGAGCAGCAGAGAAATCAGCAATTGCCTCATGAATATGAGGAACACTGGATGTGAAATGGCAGCATTTTCTCCTCTCCTACCCTCTCTTCCCCATCACACTCTTTACTTATTTTTAGTTTCCTGAGAAGGGCTGGAGATAGTATGCTTGGTTGCCCTTCTTTTCTCTTGGCTCTGAGAATTAATCCATGCCAACTAGACTGTAGGTGACTAGAAGAATCAACCACACATCAGAAAACCCGAGGGCTAGAAGGAACCTTAGTGAGGGGTCTGGCTCAGTGGTTTCCCCCCATTGGAAAACAAAACCGAAATTGAGAGGACAGCAGAACCAGAATTCCTGCTCTCTGAGAACATGGTTTGAAAGACACTCGTGTAATCTAATCCTACCGTTTTGCAGAAGGGTCTGAAGTTTTCTGCTCTAGGCCAACTTTACCATACATTTTTGAGTCTACACAGGTAACTTGGATTACATCTTTTGTGGACTTTCAGAGGCTGAGCGGCTCCTGAATTAGGGAACAGGACATGTTGTGACTGACCGGGCAGGGTCTCTGCCTCTTCCTGCTTAGGTGAGAGATGCCCCACTTCTCTTTCACGGCAGCCCAAGGCCCTTTTCCCCCTGGATTACTGATATTGGCTTCCATTTTTCCCAGGGGTCCAGGATGTTATAGGGTTCTCTGTTCCCACGCGTGAGTCAGCGTCAAGGATCACAAGAAAAAAGAGCTGGGGAAAACAACTCAGTGGCAAGGCAAGGAGCCTTTGTTAAACTCACAGAATTAGGGTTGGAATTAGGTTTGAAATCTGGGATTAAGTTTGGCAGATAACATTAAGGTTAGTATTAATATTAATATTAATTAGGATTAGGATTGAGGCCAGAGTTTGGATTGGACATTGGGGCTAATACCAGGTTAGAACGAATTATAATGAGGAAAGGCTTTGAACCAAGAGAGGGTTTGTAGCGTAAGGATTAGAATCAGAGTGGAGCATCATCTGATTCCTTTCAGGTCTCTACAAGCTCCTTCTTTCTGTCGTGTCTTCCAGGGCTAAATAGGGTCTTTTGGACTCTTACCAAGAAAGCAGCCCTTGTGAGCCTCTGCCCTTGAGTAACACAAGGCTCTTTCCCATACAACCTCAGTTGCTACTTCAAAAGCTCTGGCTGCTGAAGCATTAATATTATCCTGTATTAGACCCTACTGAGCCTGTAGATGGCTCCTTTTGGGACAATGGTGATAGCAAACTACTCCCAAGAGTCACATCACAGGTTCACCTGGAAGGTAATCCACACTAGAAAACAGTTGAGACATTTATGACAAAACCACATCTGTCAATTACCCCACACTTTGGTCCCCTAATCTGATGATGCCCTGAAATTTTATGTCCTCTCTGAGCTTTCAGCCAACTAAGTGGGCATGTTATAGGAACTGGATCAAAGGCTCTTCAGATAAAGGCCTTGGGAACTAATAATGAAGAGTAAGCTGGCTAGGAATGTCTTAAGAGGGAGCAGATGAACACTGGGTCTCATTTCATACAAGTACTGAGTGATGAAAAAGCTAGCAGTGAGTTTCAGTGTCTTCTAGGGGAGGTGGTTTGGTGACTGAGACATGCCCACAGGATAGTCTGACTAGGATACCAACCCATATGTGAATCTCACATTAACTAACAAATTATTGTGCTCTTTTATTCATACAAAAAATATTTATTGAATGCCTACCAAATGTATCCTGGACATTGTGTATATCACAGTGAACAAATAGACATGCTCTTTGAGACTCACAAACAAATATTTAATTATAAACTGTGATAGGTGCTATAATGGGTTCCAAGTAAGATAATAATGGGGCAACATAGTTTTGATTAGGGCTGAAGCCTTCTTTGAAGGAGTGCTATTTAAATTTAGGTCTGAAATAGTTAAAGTAGGACTTAGTCAACTGGAAAATTCTTGAACATGCCCATTGTTTTTTATGCTTCTGAATTACAGTCTGCAATTTACTCCTTTTTGGACTATGGTGGACACCTTTTGGAATCTTTGCCAAGAACATAACTGACCTTCTTTGAGAACTACAGCCTACAAGGATGGGCCTCTGGTAGCCACATTTGCATTACAAATCAAAGAGCTTCCACTGTATACTGCTCTACTGGTCAAAGGTGACTGTACCAGAAGCAGACAACCTGACATAAACTAGACCAATCAGGTTCTTTCTCCTGGGAATTGGGTGTCGTAGATACTAATGAAGCTCTGCTCGTTCTTGAAATGATGGGTAAGCTTGGACTATATTCCTAGAGAAACAGGGAAAGCAGGTCTGTAGAGAAGAATGAAGCAGTTTTGTGGAGAGAAGCAGAGATGGGAGAACATGAGACCATAAAGAGGCTCTGCTCGTTCTTGAAATGATGGGTAAGCTTGGACTATATTCCTAGAGAAACAGGGAAAGCAGGTCTGCAGAGAAGAATGAAGCAGTTTTGTGGAGAGAAGCAGAGATGGGAGAACATGAGACCATAAAGAAAAAGAAAGAGATATTGAGGGAATAACCACTTAGCTTCCTGTTCATATTTTAGGTCCTCGTTTCAGTCCTTCATGAAATCTTGTTGCTCTCTGTGCCCTTGGGTTCCATAAGATTATTTCCTTAAAAAAAAAAAAAAAGGAAAAAAGCATGAAGAAGTTCAAGTGGGTTTTCATTAGCTGCAGACAAATGACTCTTGACTAAGACTGGGTTTTATCAGATTAGTTTTTCTATTCAGAAAACATGGATTGAGCCAGCTTAAATCTCAGTCCTTTTGGAGCTAGGTTTTGTGAGAAAAGACAAATATGTAAATTTCTTGGTCCCATAACAGAGATTATGTGGGCAGAGGATGGAGGGACCAATTCTTCCTTGGCAGAGTTTGTAAAGCACAGAAAAAGTAACATGCTTCTGAAGGAGTAGAGTGTGCTGGGAGAGAGAGAAGAAGTACAGTCAGGGCAGAAGGTAGTGAGAGGGACAAAGAAATGGAGAAGTAAAAAAGCAAGGTGTAATTGAGGAATGGCAACTAGTGGCTAATGTGCAGGGTGCACAGAGAAGAATAGGAAATGAAGCCTAAGAGGAAGATGGGAGCCAAATTATCTAACATCTTATATATAAGGAGTTTGGACCTGCTGATGAATGCTACAGTTTATTAATCTTTTTAGTCTCCAGAGGGCTTAGGAAATGTCTTTTTATATACTGAGTACTCAATAAATGCTTGCTGAATCAAATATCTGGCAAACAAACAGATAGGCAAGCAGTTTGTAAGATGACAATCACTTTTTATACTAATTCTTCATTTTGGTTTTAGGGTTTCCTTTTCCGTACATAAAAGAAAATCACCAAGATGCTAATAGAGAGTGAGTCTCACTCAATCTCACTGTGTTAAACTCAAAGGCTGTAAGTATCTCATGTGTGTGGCAATTTTATGTAGTTCAAGTGAAGATTTAAGGGTAATATGAATTCAATGGGAGCAATCTGTGCTGTATGGCTTCATCCATTCTATGAACTTTTGACAGAAATATTTGTTAAAGGCTTGTGAAAATCTACAAAATCAAAACTAAATACTATGCACAATAAATCAGCACTCACATTTTGGGGTGCTTTGGCTTTAAGCGGCTTGAATTTTTCACTCACTGTCTTTACCATCAAAAGCAGCATCTTTAGGAGGACACTAAACTAAATGTGATCCTTGCTCTTTAGAAGTTTAGAGGCCAAAGAAACGACATCAATGTTAACAAATCCACAGAGAATGTACAAACAGAAATATGATCTGGTGTATAAAGAAATAAAATAGCAACATTTGATAATAAAACTATCGTAGGTAATATATTCTTGAGGCTCTTGTATCCCCTATGGTCAGGAGGGTACACCGCAGCTTTTCCCTGGAAGTAGCAGAGACTTAGAAGTTCGCCCTCAAGGGTCTCAGCAGTGGGTCAGCCCTCCAAGAGGTCTGGTGGCAGTTTCCTCCCTGTTGAAATTAGTCATCAACAATTGGCTTCTCTGTTCACGACTAGCTGTAGATCAGAATAAATTCAGGATCAGGGATAAGGAGCGTTAGAGGACTCATTTTTCAATGGCTCAAACTTTTTTTTTCTTTTTGGTAGCTGACCATTACAGGGATCAAACAGTGACTCAAATTTCTTCTGTCGGTATCAATCTCCATCACTGATTCGGCCATAGTTGCCCTCTTTCCCCTTCAAATAACAAACTTGTTCGCTCTAAAGAGAGGCTCTCCTAGCCTAGGCGTAAGGTGTGGACTTGTGGTTCTGAGGCTGGGGACACTGGTAGGGGAGAAGAGGCGAGGAAGTTGACCAAGACACTTTATTCCCCTTCCCCCCACCATTGCTGGGGGTTGGGAGAGGGACATTTCCCAGTTCATTACTGCCGAGAGAAGACCTTTTCTCCGGGTGGAACTGGAAGAGTGGGTTGGGTGTTGGGGGCCCGGGGAAAGAGAGATTCCCAAGGGTTTGGCAGTTTGGGTGAAAATGCTCCCCAACACAGCCCAGAATTTAGAGGCCTTGGAGACCTTCCCAGCAGCCTACAGCCCGGGGAAGTCCGAGACCCACTTCCGGGTTTGGAAGCAATCCCTCTTGGCCCTACCCCGCATCCAGTTACGGGGTCCCGGGCGCATGCGCCGCCGCTCTAGGACGGGCCCAACATACCATAAACAACTAATCCGCTCTTTCCCCTCCCGCTTGGGGCGTACCATTCGCGCTTGGGGGGAGGCGCCGCGCCCCAGAGTACTCAGTAACCTGCTCTCCTTCCTCAGACAGCGGGGAGATAAAGTTTGCCTCAGAATTTAAAAGTTCCAAGAATAGGAAGGCCTCCGAGGCTTGTCGCCGAGTGATAGCCCGACGGCCTCCGCTTTGCCCACGGCCCCGTATTCTGCCTTTGAGGCGCTGAACAAAGTGGCACGCCCGGATCCCAGCTGATCAGCTGCTGGGCTTTGGCGGCGGCGCCCCCGGACGCGACCATTGTGACTCCTTGAGAGGGGTGCGTGAGGAGGGGAAGGGGGGGAGGAGCGGCCATTGTCCGGTCAGCGCAGCCTGGGGGAGGGGTGAGACTGTTACGGAGTGAGCAGGGCCCGGGTTTCACAGCGGCCGCTGCGACTCCAGAGCCGGCGGGGGCCTCAGGTCCTTCCCCGCCCCGCCGCACGGGACATCGCTCTGGCTGGAAAGCGGCGGTGGGAGCTGCCGAAGGCCTCGGGTCTTCCTCCTCCCCCGCGGTCCTCTGTTCACCCGCACGCCCCTCCTCCTCAGCTCCCCCTCCCTGTCCTCTCTGCGCCTCTCCTGGCCCCCCCGTCTCTGCAGGACGAGTGGTGCGGCCCGCCTCCAGCTGACCGGCCTGGAATCCCGGCTCGAAGCCCCGGAATCGCGCCCGCCCGCGCGCCCGCTCCCTCCACCTCCCCCCGCCCCGAGCCCCCCGACGACGCCGCCGCCTCCTACCAGCGGGGCCCAGGCCCAGCCACCGCCACCACCACCGTCACCACCGCCGAGCTCCGCCGCCGCCGAGCACCATGGGAGACGCCGGGAGCGAGCGCAGCAAAGCGCCCAGCCTGCCGCCTCGCTGTCCCTGCGGCTTCTGGGGGTAAGTGCCCGGCCGGGTGGGGGTGGGCGCCGGGGCTGCCTGGGCAGGCCTTGGGGCCTGGGAGGCCGGAGCCGTGGGGACAGGGCCCAAGCCGGGCGTAAGGGAGGGCGGCAGGGGCCGCGTCCTGGGGAGGATGCCGGGTGGGGAGCTGGGGGTGGGCAGAGAAGGCCTGCCCGGCGTGCGCTGCCACCATTTGGGACTCGCCGGCCTGAGGCTTTGACCGACAGGGGCGGCCCGGGCCACGGGTGAGGGGGCAGGGCGTTGGTACCTCCAGGTGGGGCAGGGGTGTCCCCTTCCCTTGGCGTGTGGAGGCCAGTCCTTCCTCCTCCTCCACCCCCCTTAGTATGAGTTGGTGCCAAGGCACCAGAAGGGTATTTCCTCTGACTTTTCCACCTCCCCTCCTCCCTGTCCCCCAGGGACTTGCATCATCACTTCCTAAATTATATCCCAGTGTCCTATTGCTTTTAGGAAGCTGTTCACACGTCACCCATTTGTAAAAATCGAGCCCAGAACCCAGGCTGGGGTAAAGTTATAAGACTGTTGAGGTCTTACCTGTATTTAAAACACGTTACAGAAGATCTGTGAAATTTCCCTGTCAAGAAAAAAAGAAAAAAACCGACAAAACCTCCAGTCAGCCTGACTTGGGGAAGGTGAGAGCCAGTTTCCTCAGCTGACTCTCAAATTCCCCTCTTAACGATTTTCTAAAAATGATAAAAATGTTCACAATAGGCAGCGTATATTATTACTTGGCCATCCTGTGTTGGGAGGAAAAAATGTGAGGTGGGAAATCAACCCCCTCCCCACAGTTACAGTTTAAATTTTCCTTTTAACGCTTGGAGTTCATGAATTGCCACCTAACAGGTATCTGCATATTACTACATCACTAGTTCTCCCACCCAGGTACTAACCAGGCCCAACCCTGCTTAGCTTCCGAGATCAGAGGAGATCAGGCGCGTTCAGGGTGGTTTGGCTTAGAACTACATGACTATTTTTGTAGTAAGGAAACTGGAGACCTTGAAGGCCAACTTCTGTGATTGAGCCCTTTTTTTCTTTTAAATATTATTATTATTTTTTTAAGATTCAGTATGGAGGTGCATAGTCAGGAAGAAAATGATTGTTTTGTTGAGGCCATCTTGGGAAGGTGTAGTGAAGTATTTTCTCTTTGCTATCTTCCATATTCTAGGAATGGTTAATGTAGAGATTAAGGCTCTGATTTGGGGAGTTCAGAGACAGAAAGTGGATCTTAATGTAGATTTCTGTGGAATTTGTCAAATCTAAAGGTTATGATGAAGTGGATTCTCATTTTCTCATCTTTCTGCCTTTCTCAAATATTTCCAGGTGGAAGGACATTAGACAAAAATAAGTTATGACATTGCCAAAAATTCTGAAGATGTGGAGGTATTTTAAGTTTATAATCTTCCCTTTATTTTAATTTGAAAGTAATATTCAGATCGTCTGTGAAGTGCTTTCATGGACAATATAATTCCTATAAGAATCTTAGGAGGTAGGAACCAGTCTACTATTAGATGAGAAAACTGAGGCTTAGAGTGGTGGATAATTTGCCCCTTCACACAGGGAGTGTAGGGTGGAGCTGGTGAGCTCTTTAGAATGCTTCATACCATAACGTTTATGACATCGGTCTGCTGTCCTGGAAAAATCTGGTATCATAAGCCTTAGATTGTAACTCATTTTAAGACATGTGGCCTAAAGAAGCTAGCTGCCAGTGGCAACTAATGTTGAGGATGTATCAGAGGTCTGTTTCCTGGCAACATGTTTATGTTCTTGGACCATTATCATGAGTGGAATCCTTATTGAAAGATTTCTGTCAAGGCTCAGAAATTAAGGAAATAGAATAGGCTTTACCTTTAGCCAGCAGAGTTCTGAGTAAAGCCAAAAGAGGTTGGTAGTAGCAGACAAGAAAAGTTACTGTTGTACTTGACCGATAAGTAATCAGGGCTTCTTTTTTGGTGCTTTCAATTTGGCACTTTTTATGAACTGCAATTTGCCCAACAGGAGTAGTGAGCACAAAACTAACGTTTTTATGGTGAAAAGTGTTATATTTAGTGTGCAAGTGTTTTAGCCTTTCCTAAGGGTCTTCATAGACAGCAGTATAGTTTGTTTTTTACACCAAAGTGTAACAGAATTGTTGCCTTGTTCCATCATATAACTGACTTTTAACATGGGCCACATTACTATTATGTTCATTAAATAAACATATTCAACAAGTATTTGAGTGCCTCTGGTATAACAGTGGACAAGTGAGTACTGACTCCATCCTCTGGGGCAGGGGACACAGAGAAATAAACTGACAGTTGCAATAAATTGTACAGGGTGCCATGGAGGAGCAACTACCCTAGCTGGGGCGGAGGTAGAGGAAAGTAGCTTGGAGGAAGTAACACTTTACCCTAGACCTGCAGGAAGGTTAAAAGGAGGAGAGAATGGAAATAGAGAGGAATGTTTCTTTCAGGCAGAAGGAATAAATAGAATGGGAGAAGGCTGGGAGGTGAGAGAAAGCACTACTTGTTTGAGGAACAGAAAATTCCTTGCGTTAATTAGGAGATTGGGAAAGGGGATCAACTAGAGATGAGGTTGGGGAGGTGAGAAGAATTGGTGTTACAGGGCCCCCATAGGTAACACTGAGGACTTTGGACTTTTATCCTGAGTGCAGTAGGGAGCTACTGAAGAACTTTGAGCAGGGAGTGATGTGATTATCTTTAATGTGAAAGATTATTGATTGATCTTGAGAGTGGCCTGGGTGTGAGTATGATTGTGTGCATTTGTATAAATGTGTTGTATGTATGTTCATGTGGTATTGCCAAGTCCAGTGATACAGAAGACCTGTCAAGGGAAGTAGTTTAGGCTATAGCCATGATGGTGGCATGAACTCATGTAATGGCCAAGGAGAATCGAAGTAGATAGATATGAAAGCCATTCAGAAGGTACCTTTTGCTATCTGAATGGGAATGATGTATGATTCTGAAATGGGAAAGATGTGTTATTCTCTTTTACATAGATTTTTTTTTTTTGTCCTTTTTTTGAGACCGGCCGCACCGTGCTCAGCCAGTGAGCGCTGTGAGCACACAGGTCATCCCTATATAGGATCTGAACCCGCAGCGGGAGTGCTCCTGCGCTCCCAGCGCCGTACTCTCCCAAGTGCGCCACGGGCTCGGCCCTTTACATAGATTTTCTATGAATGTTTTAAACCATTTATTTAATGCTGCTTATATACACATTCAGAAGCAGAATTTCAAGCAACGTATATGAAAGATTCACGTGAAAATGTGAAATCTTCATGAAAATGAAGGCAATTATGAGGGTACTTTGAAAAGTTCATGGAAAGATTTGTATTATCTTTTAAGTCTATTTATTTCATGAACTGTTTGAAGTACCGTTGTATGTTCTCTAAAGAATTTTATGCAGTATTGCACTCTGTGGAAGCCATAGGTCTATAAAGTCAGTTAGCCAGGTCCACACCCAGCAGAGGAGCCTCTCCGCAGAATGTTCTGGCACCAGAAGGCTAAAGGCAATTAGGATTACTGCTCTCTCCAGTGACTCAGGCTGCAGGACTTGCTGCCCAGCATTGTCCAGTCAGGACACTAGTCAGTGAGACATGGTTAAATAGGAGAGCTTTAAGGTCTTTCTTGTGGGAACACAATTAGAAAGGAGAATACCAAGAGGAGCATACAATTCAAATGGGTTAGTGCTTAAAACACTTAGTTTTCAGTTCCCTCCCTCTTGGTTTATATTGTGTAATTGCCTACAGGTAATTAAGTTATTTTGTAGAGAGACCATCACTCCACTGGGAAACTTTGATGCCTTGGAAATTGTTGAAGGTTAACCTGTTTATAAGAGTTGGGAGTTGTTTGTATACTACAAGTATATAGAATGTTTTTAGGATTAAAAAAGTTCTTTCCCTGAGATAAGGATTTAAAACTTTTAGTCAAGTATGAGCATTGTCTTAACTCACTTTAGGCATTCAGTAATCAGGCAAAAAACATACTCTTTGATAATTGTCATATATGAAATAAAATGGTCAGAATATTTTCTTTAGTTGAAGTACATACATATACAAAAGCACTTTTAGACTGTACACATGTAAGTGGTATTAGTTGAAGCTGCATTTTTACATTGTTTAGACATTTGAAATGTACTGAGGCATCTAGATTCTTCACAAATATTTTCAAAAGTTGTTGAAAGAGCAGACCTAGAATATTATAGAAAAGACAGGAAGGAGAATAAGAATATACTATGTGTATTATAGGATAATAGAAAGGGTAATTAGGATGGAAGATTAATTCTACTATTAAGTGTAAAATTCCAATTACTGCTATTGATATTTTGCTTTCACAATTGGAGACACTCTATTGTGATGAAGTATTGTGGAAACCTTGAGAAGTATTATTTCTTTCATAAATAAATTTAAAGTATAGTAGACATAAATGTTCAGTCTGGTATTTAGGGAATAATGAAGTATTTAAAAATGGGGCTTATTAGGTGTAAACTATCACTAGGTTTTGATGATAAAAAAAGAAGCCCTTCCATTCTAACAAATCATGTCAAAAACAAATATTACATGTGTAAATTTCTTTAGGGAAATAGATTTTATTAGTATTTCATTTTTGTGATTAATTCTATTGAAGCATTTTACCTACAAACTAGATCTTCTAGATAGTAGGTGTATTTTAAGTAAAGATGGGGATAGGCAGAGATGGGGATAGGAGTAATCTTAAAAAATAAATTCCATTTCTGAAATGGTTTCTAGTAGAAAGTTGATTGAAAACATAACATGATTTGTTTTATTCCACTTTATTTTTGACCATCACAAGATACTGACTAGTTTAGCTGAAATAGAATCAATATATTCTTTTTTACTTTGAGCCCAGGCTTTGTGAATTGATGCAAAACATCATCTCTGATACTGTCACTGGCTAGGGTGCTTGGCTTCTAGCACTGTGTGGCCCTCACATTTGTTTTGCATCTTCAGTCTCAGTCTCCCAATT